CACCTGGACTATAGAAAGTACACCTGGACTATAGAAAGTTCACCTGGACTATAGAAAGTACACCTGGACTATAGAAAGTACACCTGGACTATAGAAAGTACAGCTGGATTATAGAAACCTGGGCCTGTCATTCTGTCTGTGTCTACTTCCTGTCCTCTCAGACCAGCTGGTTGAAGCAGATGGTCTCTTGTCCTGAGCTGGTTCTGGAGGTTTCTTCCTGTTAAAGGGAGTTCTTTCTTCCCAATGTCTCCTCGGTTCTCGCTCAGGATGAGACTGTGATGAAGAGAAGATCCAAGTCAACCTGCTGCTTCCTGAGAGAGAACTTTAATAATGGTCTTTTGTAAAGTTTGAATGTTTGTGTTCAGGGAGCTGAGACGACTTGTGGAGCTTCAGGAAATCATTCCAGCTTCATTTCTTCAGGTTAGTGTCGTGGAGCCTCGGGGACTCTTTCACAACAGAGACCTGATTCAAACAGAGTGATGACAACAAGCATAAAATAAAGCTTTTAAATTGAGCAGAACAAGTGAAGGAAAAAGAAATGGTATTAAAAAATGAAATAAAAACAGCTAGGTTGTAAGGTGGTGTAACCTCACTGAGGGGACACTGCAGGTAATGATGTCCTGAGAGCGCACGCTGTAGCTGCACTCACACAGAGACATGTAGGAGGAGATGTATGAAGGCAGCAGACCAGGAAGTGATTTAAAGATGGAGATGTACCAGTGAGAGAGTCTGGTCTATTTATAGAGAATAAAGTGAAAACAGCCGAACGAGGTTTAAATAAGCAGGAATCGAACTCTAAACTCTTCGGTGATTCTGCTCCTTCACAAAACAGGCGATGAAGGTTTTGGCTGCGTCTGTCAGCAAAATATTGCACGAACCACTGAACAGGTTTCAATGAAGCTCGTGAAGTACCAAAGGTGTTTAACTTCATCTCTTACAACATGGCCGCCCCAGCAGCTGAGGCTGCAGCAGGACGGTTCCACGTGGTCGTAGCCGAGTCGTTGCAACACGTGCACGAGGAGTTTATGTCAGCAAACTAGGTACATGCACTTTTAGTTCAAGTAGACAAGTGTTGAGGAGCACTCTCAGCTACTACCACTTTCAATTCAAGTTGGCTGTGGCGGCCATCTTGATCAGCTCCAGATGTTCATCCACTGACTTTGAATGTTAAAATACAAGTTCAGAAGATATTTTGCTAACTGATGAAAAGCCTGTGAGATAACGGAGGGCATCGTGAACGATGGTCTGATTAAATGACAAAACAAAGCTTCAATCCTCGTTAAACTCTCGTCTGTTTCTGTCGGAAATTAATAAAACTGAAAATGTGTTTTCTGTAAAACACCGCGCGAGCTGAAACAAAGGTCCTAATTTACAGCATCCATCCATCCATCATCCATCCTCCATCCATCCATCCATCCATCCATCCATCCATGGATGGATGGATGGATGGATGGATGGAATTTGTTGGGCTGGTAGAACAGTCGCTGTAAGGTCAATATTTATGCAATCGTTATTTAATACTTTGTAGAAATGAATTGTTTCTTTGTAACTTTATTTATTTTTGTCATCAGGTCTCATTTATATTCATCACGACTGATTCATGAAGGCCATAAAACATAAAACGTGCCACATGATTTTTACAGAAACACTATTTTAAGGTTTTAAATATATAAAAATGAGAAGAAGCTGAAGTCCCAGCCGGCATCACCTAAATGTTTTTATTTAGAACTAAAACTGCAAAATCAATAAAAATAAGAGTTCAGAAAAACAACAATGAACATTTGTATAAACAATGAAAACTGAACTTACTGGTTTCATAAAGAGCATATTTTGATGAACACATCCGGTTAAAGTAATATAACTAAATATTTATAACCGTAAATAAGTTTCAATCTACAATGTAGAAGAGTTTTACTGTTATTTAAAGAGTTTTACTGTTATTTAAAGAGTTTTACTGTTATTTAAAGAGTTTTACTGTTATTTAAAGAGTTTTACTGTTATTTAAAGCAGGATGTGATTAAAGCCGTTTAAAGTGAATAGACTTCATTGTGCGGCTCTTCCCTCCCCCACCCTCCCCCACCGAACCGTCCCCCCAGCCGACCCGAACTGCGGCTCAAAGCGCTTCATTTAAAGTCCGCCCGGACCAGGACCGGCTCCGGTGGCTCCGGTCCGGCTCGCCGGGCCGCTCGGGAGCCGCTGGCCGGCCCGGAGGCTCGGCGGCGGGCAGCCATGGCTTCATGTGACCGCCTCGAAATGGCTTCTGGGTTGAGCCCGTTCTGCCGCGGACACCGACGGAACGACACCGACCACACGGCCCGGTGGACCCGCGCAGAGAGCGGACGGCTGCCGGGGGCTGGCCCGGCCCGGAACCGCCGAACTGCCGGTCCATGTGAGGAGAAAAGCGCCTTTATGTTCGTTCATCCCTCGTTCCGTCTCGCTTCTTCCCTCTCCTCCCCCAACAAGCCTTTCTCTTGTTAGATAACGAACCGGACCGTTTATCCTACTCACCATTTCCGTACTTTCTCGATGGCGGCCATGACCCGCTTGATGTCATCCTTCGCCCGGCTGCGGGTCTCCGCTCGGACCGACCTGCCCGACATTGCCGCGGTGCTAAAATATTTTTAAAGCTCACCGGCAGTTCAGACACAATGCAAACAGTGGAGCGCACAGAGGGGCCACTGCGCCTGCGCGGCCTGCAAGGACCAGGGAGGGAGGGAGCCACTGCGCCTGCGCGGCCCGCAAGCGACTAGGGAGGGAGGGAGCCACTGCGCCTGCGCAGTGAGCAGACGCGTTGAAGCAGAACAAAGGCGGTCAACCGGACGCTCAGGGAATAAACACGAGAATTCAAACCACACTCACATATTTATAGGACAAATACACAAAATAGCATTCACGGAAGAAGGCTGTGAAGTATGGAGGGTGGAATGTGACAAAATTAATTAAATAAATACATCATTCATATATGCTGATGCTCAATGGTTTCACTTGTAAATGAGTCTTGGAGGCTCGATGTGATTTATCTGTTTAAATAAAGGATGAATGAATGCTGGATGCTTAATGGGATTAACCTGTATAAATAAAGGTTGCATGAAAAATTCAACCTTTATTTATACAGGTTAGTTTCATTGAGCCTTGAGGACTTGTTTACAAGAGAGACCCGTTTTAAACAATGAACACAGATGAGGTACAGACAACAATAGATAATCATGCCAAAAACATACAATGAAAAGTAAATGAAAGGAATTATATAAAAACAACACAAAAACAGCTACATTATAAAAAAATGTAAAATACTAAAAACAGGAACATGTCTGTGTTGTTTTTTTCCAGGAACTTAAAGGATGTTTAGAGAGGTCAAAGGTCGAGAGCTTCAGATCTTTTTACAAGATGTTCCAGGAAACAGGAGCGGAGTAGGAGAAGGTCCTTTTGTCTAGTTCAGTCCTCACTGAGGGAACACTGCAGGTAATGATGTCCTGAGAGCGCACGCTGTAGCTGCACTCACACAGAGACATGTAGGAGGAGATGTATGAAGGCAGCAGACCAGGAAGTGATTTAAAGATGGAAATGTACCAGTGAGAGAGTCTGTGTGAAGTTAATGGTGACCAGTTAACCAGTGAATACTGGGAGCAGTGGTGGGTATGGTACTTCAGAGTCAGAAATTCAGAGATTTATTTGTCATGCACACCTCATGTGGTACATGTGGTGGAACAAAATTATGTTCACAGGGTCCCAGTTACATCCAACAATAAAATGTATAAGAAAAACAGTAATAACATCAAAGATATGAACTAAGAAAAACATCAACTAAATATACACTAAGCACTCATAACATAAAAACATTGAACATCAGCACAAACATGAACATGAGTCTGTGAGCAGATGTGCACGCATGAACACATCAACATTGAAACAGATCAGCAGCAACATGAAACAGATCAGCAGCAACATGAAACAGATCAGCAGCAACATGATATGATTTTTCACAGTGATTATTCTAGTTAGAGATTTATTAGTCTAACAGCCTCAGGGTAGAAGATGTTCCTCAGTCTAGTGGTTCTACACTTAATGCTCCTCAACCTCCTTCCTGAGGGGAGCGGGGCAAAAAGTGTGTGTGCTGGGTGAGTGTGGTCCTTCATGATGCAGGTGGCCCTCTTCCTGCATCTGGAGGTGTAGATGTCTGTGATGGTGGGGAGGCTGACTCCAACATCTTCTGTGCAGCCTTCACCACTCTCTGCAAAGCTTTTCTTTCTGCAGCTGTGCAGCCTCCATGCCACACGTTGATGCTGGAGCACAGGATGCTCTCCACTGCACACCTGTAGAAGGAGGTGAGGACTGAGCTTCCAGACCAGCTCGTCTCAGCCGTCTGAGGAAGTAGAGTCTCTGATGAGCTTTCTTCATCAGGCTGGTGGTGTTGTTGCTCCAGCTGAGGTTGTTGTTCAGGTGCACACCCAAGTACTTTTTTTTTTCATTTACCTTTATTTATCCAGGTAGTCTCATTGAGCCACGAGAACTCATTTTCAAGAGAGACCTGTTTAGGAGCAGATGGTGGGGGTTAAGGGCCTGACGGTACCGGGTGGTGAACCTGCGACTTTCCGATCACAAGCCCATCTTCTAACCTTTGCGCCACCACTCCCCCAGATGATTTGTAGCTGGAAACCACTTCCACCGCAGATCCTCTTATACCATACCATACATTATTTTCGGGGTGGGGGGGTGTTTGTTCCTTCTGAAGACCACGATCATCTCCTTCATCTTCTTCACATTGATGTGAAGGTTGTTCTCTTTGCTCCAGCTCTCCAGGTGTTCCACCTCCTGCCTGTAGCTGGACTCATCATTGTTTGTGATGCATCCCACCACCGCTGTATCATCTGCAAACTTTACAATGTGACAGCCTGGATGGGCAATCATACGTGAGCAGAGTGAACAGGAAAGGGCTCAACACACATCCCTGAGGAGAGCCAGTGCTGAGGGTTATGGTGGAGGAGGAGAAGTTGTGGATCCTCACTGTCTGAGGTCTGTTTGTTAAGAAGTCTAGGACCCAGTTGCAAATGGAGGGGCTTAGTTCTAGTGTGAATAGTTTGTCCATCAGGGTCTGGGGGATCATGGTGTTGAAGACAGACATGAAGTCCACAAAGAGCATACGGACGTAGGAGTCAGTCCTTCTGCTCCAGGTGGGTGAGAGCAGTGTGGACCACAGAGGAGACGGTGTCAGTTCTCACGGTATGAGTACTGATGAGGGTCCTCGTTGATGTTCATGGTTGTTCTGATGTGGGTCATGATTAGTTTTTCGAAGCTTTTAGCGACTATCAGGGTGAGGGCTACTGGCTGGGAGTCATTCAGACCAGTCACTGTAGAGCTCTTTGGGACTGGGATGATGGTGGCGGATCATCAGGCAGGTGGGAACTGTTGGCAGGGTGAGGGAGAAGTTAAAGATGTCGGCCAGCACCACCAGTTACAGCCAGTTAGTGCACCATGATAGACAGCATCCAACATCTGCAGGGTTCTTGTAGGAGCGTTCATGTAAATAATGTCACCGTGATCAATGGAGGGCAGAAAAGTCACAGATACAAGGCGTTTCCTAACATTCAGGGTTAGACAGGATCTGGTTCTGAAAAACAAACCAGAGGGCTGGATTATCTGAGCAAGGTGATAAGAGAACTTTTTGCTTGTGGTCTTTCGCCACTGTCCAATGAAAGTTACAACATCTGGAGTTCTTGTTCAGTGCTTTGCTTGTGGTCTAGATCAGAGATGGCGCTGGTCTAGATTGCGTCATGCTCACTTCCGATTGGTTACTTTCTGAACAGCTTTCAACGTTTCATCTGCGATCTGCGGGAACATTGTACATCGCGCTCACAACGCAAAATACGAATAAAACTAATTTATAAACATGTATGTACGTAACAGTAATTTTAAAAAGCCGGTGTAAAGGACAACTAGAAACCATTTGGGGGCGCGTTGTACGCATGCGCGTTAGTAACTGTACCCGCTGCGTCATAACTCCGCGACACACGAGCTCAGTTTGTGCTGGTTTTGTGTTCAAGTCGGTAAAAGACCGAATTTCAGTGTTCTTGTGCAGCATTTTACAAAGCGTGGTTGAAACTAAACATTTACATTGTCAGTTTTGAGTAATCTGAATTAAGTGAAATTAGAAGATGAACGAAGAGGGTAAGTTACGCGACGCGTCTTGCTTCCTGTCCTGTTTTAGTTTGTGTGCTTTGGAGCCAGCTTGTGTTTGTGGTCCGGCCCAGAACTGGTGGAGTACTTCAGGGCTCAGATGAGGACAGACCCGGACATGGCCTCTGCTGTGGCTGCCATCCGCACCCTGCTGGAGTTCCTCAGGAGGGATAAAGGTGAGCTTCATCTCTGCTCTGTCTTTATTTAATCTATTTATCCTTATTCTCAGCCGTTATGTGCCATCACAGAACAGTCCGCTCAAACCAACTCACTGAGGATTAATGAAGAAACTGGTTAGATATTTATCAAACTGCTTCACACAAACCCCATGAGGCGTGAAAACATTACATGACGTTAATGAACTTAATATTCAAGTTAAATAATAGATGTGGTGCGGATCACATACCATACCACTTTATTTATAAAGCACTTAAAACAGCTACAAGGCCAACCAAAGTGCTGTACAGACAGAACAACAGGTAACACACAAAGCAAAATACAAAATGAGGTAAATCAGAATATAGACATAAAAACGATGCAGATAATGACGACTAACCAGTGTGGAGCATAGAGGATCAAACACAGATCATCTGGTGTTGAAAGCTACTGAATAGTAGTGAGTTTTTAAACTGGACTTGAAAACAGAGAGGGAGGGGCCTGTCTGACAAGCAGAGGTAACTCGTTCCAAAGTCTTGGTCCTGCTACAGAGAAGGTCCTGTCACCTCTGCGCTTAAGACGAGTTCCTGGAACTGTGAGGAGCAACTGGTCCGCTGACCTCAGGGAGCGTGGTGGGACATACGGTTGTAGCAGATCAGAGAGATGGGGGGGGGGGGGGGGGGGG